TTACTTAAAATGCTATGTGCTTACATGTCTCCTGGGAACCTGTCCGGAAACTGAGCAATGCAGTTCATCTAAAGCGGTTCTAAAATCACCAGTTCAAGCCATCTGAAAGAGCCCCACCATTGCAGCCTGGGATGCTAAAAGCACACTGTACAGAAGGAGCAGGAAATGAAGTGGATTCAGCCATGCAGGATGAGAAAGAATGCACACCAAGCATGCAAAGTACTTGCAAATTCCCAACTTTGCAGAAAGGAAAAAATGTCCAAATGCCCTTCTGTGAGAACAGGGACATTTTTCTCCCATATATGGTAAATACAGCAGCATAATTAATCTGCAATGGCTCTCTTCCACTAGCAGGTATATGTTTACACGTGCTCGCGGCTATGGACCACTAAAATAAATACTCTGGCTGGCATCCTGTGGAGGCCACATCCAAGACTGTGTTCTCTTTTTCTCAGATGCAATGTACTGCCTGTAATGTAATGAAATGTAATGTAATTTATTGCCTCTGGAAGCCCTAAGGATGCTTGGGGTTTCTGTTCTCAGGGCTGAGAATCTTCTTGGAGTGAAAGGTAGTAGCAAGGTAACACTGGGTCTGAGGTACTAACTCTCTGGGCACTTCGGCTATGTTTGGGATGAGCCAGCACACACAGATACTTACTGAAACCCCTCCCCATTACTGTAGAGACAGCCCGGACTGGAGGCAAGGAGGAAACCAGACTAGGCCTATAATGGTCAGTTTTGGTTGTCAACCAGACAGGGTCTGGAACCATCAAGGAAACATACTTCTGGGTGTGTGGGTCATTTCTAGGTGAGGTCAACTGAGCTGGGGAAATGCGCCTTGAATGTGAGCAGCACTGCTCTAAGGGTCTGCATCCCAGAAGAAGTAAAAGGGAAGCACGAGCTGAGCGCTGGCTCCTGGCTCTCTGCTTCCTGTCTGCAGATGGGCTGTGACCTCACTCACGTTCCTGCTGTCAGGACTTGGACTCACCTGTAAACCCAAAGCCAGAACAAACTTCTTTCCTTAAGTGGCTCTCGATGGGAATCTTTAACAGCCCTGAGTAATGAACACACCCTGCAAACAAACTGGAAGAAAGCCCTCCTGGCTGGGAAAAGCCCTAGAAGTGAAGTCTGTCTTCCATTTGCTCTTGCTCCCAGGGAGTTATGAAATAAGATGGAGGACATGCCTGGAAATGCCTACTTCTCCATGTTGCTTTTTAATCTCACTGCAGCCTCGCTTTACATGCACTGGACGACATGTCTGAAAAAAAAAATCTGAGAGTGGAAATTCCCAAGTATCAGGGAATCCATACATGATTTCACAATCATGACATGATAAACGCCTTCTTAGCCTACTGAGGCAAACTGATTGCTGACTGTGATCCCAAAAGGACCCACTAAGGTGCTTTCTTTAGGACAATGGCTTCAGGTAGGGGAAGGGTGCCCCACAGACAGCTGGCTTCCCTCTGCTTCATCTACCACCAGCCTAAGCAATAGCATCCTTACCAAGTAGCTACAAGAATGTCGGTACAGAACTATGAAATCTGGGCACTCTTGTAGCAGAAATTGCTGTGTTCTTTTAAAACAGAGCATATTTCTAGTCAGTAATATACGATCCAGAAATTGGCACCAATTGCTCTGTGTCATTTACTCCAATCCAACACACTCTCAAAGCAAGGAAAATAAGGGTCGTGAATATTGATTTGCCCAAGTTTTTATGATGAGTTAGCAGCACTTACAATTTGAACTCTGACTTGGATCCAAACCCTGTGCCTCGTCTACTATCCCCATCCCGTAATGCCCACATTCATAGACTTATAACACATTGAGAGAGAAGGAACTTATAAGACAGTCTATCCAACTTCTAGCCACTGCCCGTCATGGTCATCCCACCTTAGCCATGGAACTTTCTTAGGGAAGCCACCTCATCACTGGGAAGACCCACCTCTCCACGCGGGGTATCCTGGGGTTTAAATCCAGTGACCCTAGCTCACTTCCTTTCGTGGCTCCAACACATTTTATAGGATTGGAATGTCCGTTTCTAGACTGAGCACCCCCTGACCCTTCCAAGTATTCTTCAAAACCATCTTCGGCACCTCCCTTTGTTCTTGGTGCTTTCTCTCAGCATGTGTGATGATTAACTGTCATTGTCGACTTGATTTGGAATTACCTGGGAGATACACCTCTGAGCATGCCTGCGAGAATGTTTTCGGAAAGGCCTTACAAGGATGGGTGGCACCGTTCAGTAGGCTGGGATCCCAGAACGGATGAAAAGCAGGGGAAGGAAGAAGACGGCTGAGCTCAGCATCCTCTGCTCCCTGCTTCCCTCTTCTCAGATGTGAGGTGGTCCAGGCTGCATGTTCCTACCCCTCTGAACTCTGCCATGCTTGCCACAATGGACTTGTCCTTCTTAAACCATGGGCCAAAATAAACCTTCTTCCCTTAAGATAATTTTTGCCAGGCATTTTGTCAACAGAGATATTGCTAATAACTAATAGAGGGTCCAAAACTGGACTTACTTTTATTCCAGGATAAGTCAGGACAATATAGAGTAATATTATATAATTATTGTTACTGCCTTTGCTGCACACATAGCTTCACTATTTATTTACATGTGATTTTAGAGAGATTATTCCCCCTTAATAGCCAATGTAGCTCCATAGTGCTAAAATAAAAAAGTCTCCAAAATGCATGCTTTGAAACACTATGATCCAAGCATAAGCAAATAAACATTTAACTTTTAAAAATGTGATCCTACCAATTTGAAATACACCAATTGGTCCTCTCTGCCATATATTGTTCAGAGATTATCAAGAGATGTGTGCCTTAGAAACATGAACACAGCAAGTAAAATCCCCACCACAAGTAGGGATTGTAATGTAAGAGGACATATCTCTGAGCATGCCTGTGAAAATGTTTTCTTAAGCAGGGTAGAAAGCCCACCCTGAGTCTGGCTGGTGCCATCCAATGGGTCCTTGGGAAGCAAGCTCTGCAAAGCAGAATGGGCATCACAGAAGCTCCTAGGCAAACAAAGAGATTTGATTTTATTTATGTCAGGACACCCCAAATATAGGTTCCTGGTAGAATAGGTTCCCCTAGCCTCCTAGGGAATGACATTGACTCTCTGGTTTAATAAACCTTGCCTATAGCCAATCTAGTTCCCGAAGTCACCACTGTCCCTTAAGGGAATTTGCTAAGATAAAGATCATCTATGATACAGTGGGAATGTGGCTTGGCTTAGAGGAGACTTAGAGGGCAACATGGGGACTGCTGGGAGGGAAGCAGGAAAACACCAAGAAAGAAAGTGCTCAGGAAGGAAATAACTATGCAGACACATAAGGACAGACTTTGTCACCTGTCCCTGAGAAGCAAGCCTCAGGGGATTCACCCGTAACACAAGAGCAGCTGATCCACATCGGCTGGCAGCCAGGCACCATGGGCCTGGGCGGTGACACAGAGCAGCAGCCAGCCGGAAGAATAGGAGCATATTCTACCTTGAATCAAATCAGAATGCGGCACCAGCAGAATGAAGCTTGTTAGGAAGTCAGACACAGGGTCCAAGTCTCCAAACACTCCCAGCCTTTCCCATGACTCTATGACCTAAAAGCAGGAGAAACCATACCCAACAGCTCCTTGCTAGCAAGAGATACCGTACCCTTGCTTAGAAATTCCTCTGGTGAGAGGGGGCCACAAGGTCTTAGGTCCTCTTCAGACTGCAATACTTTTGTTCATCACTGGATTTTCTTGGGAACATAGACAGTCATGTTTGGATGGTTCAGTATGGGACATGGACCCTAAAGTGCTTGAACACCCTTTCTCCTCCATGCCATTGCTAACACTGGTTCTGTAACTCAGAGTGACTACCTCAGAGATCCCTTGTCCCAGGGGCCCCAAAGCACCAATGCAGCCTTGAGAGCCTCCTTCCATTTGTTTCAGATTCTAAGGACAGGAACGCCTTTGAGGCCTTTGAGGACCCCCCTGTGGCTGAGAAGGTGAGAGTATCTAGGGCCAGCTGCACTGGCACGGGTGTAGGAACATGGGCCAAGGCAGGGCCAGCAGAAGAATCAGGCCAGAAGAGCTCCGGCCCTGTGCAAAATAGGATACACACAGGAACGGAAGAGAGGAATCTGTGAGCCCATCAGAGAGGCCGATTTTGGAGAAAATCAGACGTTTATTATTTGTGGAAGGCTTTTATTTAGTGGTGGGAAAGAATGGTAAGTATGTGGCACAGTATTCCTGAACTATAAATAACATGTAAATAGCTCTCCTAATGAAAACCTTACGGAGCCTGCTGTATTGGGAGGCGTCAAGAATACCAAAGCAGGGAGAGGGAACCGATGTGTGTTTAACCCAAACCTTCCACCTGCTCTTCACTCCTTTTCACTTTCACTCTTGGGGAGTTTCACCTCACAGAGAAAGCAGGGGAAGGGGGGTGAAGGCCATGGGGGAGTTACGAACCTCAACATACACTCTGTTGTGAACCCGCTTATAGTGCATGTGTTGTAGAATCCAGATGCGCCACACTCTCTTCCTGGGATCAAGTATGAGCCTGCCTAGAGGCAGTCTACACCCTTCCAGAGTCGTCTTCTAGACTTCAAAAATCAGCTGATCCTCCTTCAGGTAGCTTAAGTTCTTCAAGATAAGAACAACACCCCACCTGCCCCCCCCCCCCGACACACACACGCCGTGTGCACTGTGAACAGTAGTAGCTCAACAGAGAAGATCCGGGACATTGGGAACAGTGCTGAAAGATACACCAGGCCTTGCCACCATCTTGCCGTGTGGCTTTGGCTAAACTATCTTTCTCCTCTGGACCCCAGTTCTCACACCTGGAAACTGTAGAGCTGGGTTAGATATTCTGGAAACCCTGACTGAGTCCTGACAGTCTCCACATAGACGTTGGTGTGGAATCCACTTTGCATTTTCTCCCTGTTTGGCTGAGTCACTCAATGCTCCCTCCCTGGTGATCCCACAGTGAACTCTGCCTCCCAGTCCACACTGACCTGCACTTCCCGTGTCAGGGCCAGCTCCAGTAGCTGGCCAAAGTGCTGGCCCAGCATGCTCAGGGTCTCACTCACGCAGGCCTTCATTGACTTCAGAACATGCTCATTTTCCACCTGGAGGCACCTGAGAGGAAGAACCAGGGAGTGGGCCACAGAAGGGGTACTTGGTTGGACCACAGCTGTGCCTAGGGCAAACCTGGGCTTGCTCAAGGCATGGTGTGTGGGAAGAATGGGCTAGAAGGAAGACACCAGTCCCAAGAGAATCAGGGGTGGAGTCTGCCAGCCTGTTTTGTCCCCTGACCTTTTGTTATATAGAGAAGTATGGGACTCATCACATCCCTTGTTATTGGAAACTGCTGTTATCAGAAAGTGGCAAAGTCAGATCTCTAGGTTCTCTCTGGGATAGCAGGCTATCATTAACAGCCAAGTTCTCTGTCTCAGTGGTGCCTGGAGATCAGGGGCAGCAAACTTTAGAGAAGGTAGAACTCTCTCTACAGAGCTTGTAAGAATTGCTACCTATACATAAACAAGAATGGTAATACCAATGACCATGATAACATTGAAAAGAGAAAGTCTGAGGTATCCCACCTCTGGACAAAGAACTACCAGCAACAAATCGGAGAAGAATCCACCTTGCTTTTTATCGGTTGTTCAGAGTGGTCAGCCTTGAAACCATAAACACACCACCAAAAGTGGACTTACAAAGTTGTACTTACACATATTTGTGCGTGTGTATATGTATATGCATGCACAAATATATATATATATATATATATATATATATATATATATATGCACAGGTATGTATTATGTAATAATAAAATAACCAAAAGAAAAGAGACTGTTAAATTGAGAGGGGGAGGGTCACAAAAGGCCATTGAGGGAGGAAAAGGATGCGTAAAGTGATACGGTTCTATTTCAGTTTAAAACTTATTTTTAACAAGAAAAACAACAGAATTGCTGCCACAATATGAAAAATTTAAAAAAAAAAAAAAAAAAACCAAAACAGTTGCTTCAAAAGTTTTCCTCCCAGACAGAAAAAACAGAGGGGAGTAGATTGAGGCCACCCTGTGGCCTGAGAATATTCTACCCAGAGAAGAAAAAGACTCTCCCGCTTCCCTCGGATGCCAAAGTCCAGGTTTGAGGCATGAAGAGTAAAGGACCATGTCAACACACACTCACGGCGTTTCCATAAGAGGGTGAGTGTGTATGTGTGAACTCCTGTATATTTATGGTGTGAGACAGGAGGGAGGGGGTGGGTGGATTCCCATGATCCTGTGAGTGTGTGTTTACATAGCTATGTGAGAGCGAGTGCAGGTCTGTGAGCGTCTCTGTTTCTGTGCATATGTGTGGAGGTGTGAGTTCAGCTTTCTCCTTATCTGGGCTCTTGCATTCACTTTGCAGTCCAAGGAAGCTCTCCAAACCTGAAGGAAACCCTTCCCCATTATCAGCTTACCTCAAACAACTTTCCACTAATACCGAGGCTCTCTTCTACCTTTCCCTGGGCTCTGATTCTGGGAAAACTTCATGGGAATCTTATTGTTCCATTTTACTTTTTGATTTACTAAGCAGCCCTTGCTGGCCCGGAACTCACTATGTAAACCACGCTAACTCGTAGCAATCCTCCTGTTCCTGCCTTCTATGTTGCGATTACAGACATGCATCACTACATTGACCTTGAGATAATCCCTGAAGGTTTTTGAGAATGCCCAGGAAAAGAAGCTCCATCCTACTACCTCCTAGTATAAGCCCAGACATCTAGAAAAGAGACTAGTCCGTCCAGATCCAGGTGGCCAGCTGGCCAAGCAGACAGCCTGGGGTGCACTTACCTCTCTGTGACTGCTGAGAGCTCAGAACATTTCTCCATGAGCAGCTTCTCCGCCTGTAGAAAAAAAAAAATCCGTGTCATTCCTTTGAGGACCAGCTCCTGCCCTGGGCACTCAGGGACCTGAGGAAGAAAGAAACAGGCACAGAAATGAGTACACACTGTGACCTGGGACATGGGAAGCCAAAGAGGCCAAGATCAACTGCTTTGATAGAGTAAGAAAAGGTGGCATGCTGTTAGTTATACTGCTTGATCTGCGAAGCCTCAGGCAGGAAGAGGCACTTAAGCTGGGTTCATGGAATGAATAGACACTCGCTTCCTGCACAGCAAAGGAAGAAAAAGTTTAGGTGAGAGATGAAGAAAGGAAAGAAAGAAAGAAAGAAAGAAAGAAAGAAAGAAAGAAAGAAAGAAAGAAAGAAAGAAAGAAAGAAGGAAGGAAAGAAGAAAGGAAAGAAGGAAGGAAGGAAGGAAGGAAGGAAGGAAGGAAGGAAGGAAGGAAGGAAGGAAAGAACGAGAGAGGGAAGGAGAGAGGGAGGGAGGGAGGGAAGAAAGGGATGGAAGGAAAGAAAGGAAAGGAGGGAGGGAAAGGAGGGAGGAAAGAAAAGAAGGAAGGAATGAAGGAAGGAAGGAAGGAAGGAAGGAAGGAAGGAAGGAAGGAAGGAAGGAAGGAAAAAGAAAGAAAGAAAGAAAGAAAGAAAGAAAGAAAGAAAGAAAGAAAGAAAGAAAGAAAGAAGGAAAGAAAGAGAGAGAGAGAAAAGAAAGAAAAAGAAAAAAGAAACACCTCTCAAGGGCCTTGCATAACCATATATTCATTAAGTGTCCTCACTATTCTTCTCTGCTTTGTTACAAGACAGGGATGGTTGCTGACCAAGAAAGACTCCAGAACTCAGGACGGCATCCCCACACCCAGCACCTACCAGCCCTGTCCCGAGGCTGACCTGGCCCATTTCCTGTGAGATGGTCCTGCTGACAGTGCTGTACTCGCTGACCATGGAGCGTGCATGGCACGTCAGACGCACACTCATGCTATGTACACGTGCCCAGCGGTCCTGGGCCAGCTTCTGCCCGATCCTTCGCAGTTCCGTATTGATGACCCAGCCCCGCTTCAGGAGCAGCTGTAGGGGATCTCCGGGGCCAGGACCACCTGCTAGGATAAGGTCGGCTTGCGTGTCTTCCTCCAGGCTGATGGGCTTTGCCTGCAGGACGCACATGCATTCACATTCCGTCATGAGCTTCAGGTCCTCCATCCAGCGCTGGACAGAGTCCACCTGCATGAAGTGCAGCCTGCAACCAGGGAAGAGCGGCAGGGTGACGGGCGACACTCCACCCCTCCCCGAGTTCCCATCCCGGGCCGCCCAGGTTCACGACACATCTAGTTTAAGTTCAGCACTGTTTCTCCAGTTCCCTCCCTGATTTCTTATTATCACTGTCCAACAGATAATAAGATGGGGGCACAATGCTTTGAGTGCAGATGACCAGACCGATGATTGACAGGCCATGACTCCTGACAGAAGGTATCAAATAATGGTGGCATGAAATGAATGGTGGCCAACCTACAATAGGCATATTGTGTGCATTTTCTTTAAACAACGCCTTCCAGAAAATTGGTAGCAATGGAAATGATTTCCCAAAGAAACAGAGTAGGGAGTATACACAGAGTACAAACATAAAACAAAGACAATGACACAGAAATGATAAGCTAGAGAAAAATGTTCAAAGGATAGAAATTCCAAGGGATCCTTGGGGGTGATGGCATCAAAGCATTTTTCCTTCTGCCTTTTAAGTTTCCTCTAGCCAAGACTAAATCACACTACAAAAAAATGCGCCCCTACTCCTTAAAACTGTCAAATCATCAAAAGGAGAGAAATGGAAGGAACCATCACAGGCCAGAGGAGACTTAGGAGATATGCTAAGAACATAGAAGATGAGGTTCTGGGAGGAATCCTCAAACAGAGCAATGACATGTTGGGACAACTGAGGAACTCTAGAAGTTCAGTTAAATAGTAATGGATCCATGTAGGTTGTTGACAAGAATCATGAATAATCGGAGCACTTGGGCGTGGAGCCAAGAGGAACATGATCTACTATCTCTGCAACTTTCTGTGCATCTAAAGGTGTCTCAATGTCATTTTTAAAACAATGTTTTTCCCAGAACGAAGTTCACTTCCTTGCTTCTTCCTCAACCAAAAACCTGAGCTGAGATGGTTGCCCGTCTTGCCATACGTAATGAGCCCCTCAGGAGGAAGGCTGGTGGGACCTGGCTGATGAGGCAGGAGTAGGGATTTCTTCAGAGAACTCGGAGTAGAAGAAACAGGGGGAACTGCTGAGAGCTGGAGGCAAACCCACTCACTTTGCTGCCCAGCGGAGGCTCCTGATTTGCACCTCTATCTTGCTGCAGTTGAATCTCAGGTGGCCCCTTGGGCCTCTGCCTTCTGCCTCCTCAGAAGCTGAGGGCCACCATAACTAGATCCTAGTGTCCCTTCTCCCTCCTCAGTCATCCTCCACCCCCAAACAGCTTTAGCCAGAGCTTCCTGGGATGGCCTCCTAGTATCTAGGGATTATAAACATCAAAAGGACTCATGAATCCCAGGTTAACAAGGCTTGCCTTGCACAATGGATGAATGGCATGTAAGGATAGAAAGGGTGGCTCTGCTCATCACCCAAGTGTCACAGACAGTTTCCTGGTCATTTTCCCCTTTTCTGTGACTGTTATTGAAATTTAACATATGTACATAAAATACAAGGTGGAGCCTGATAAATTTTCACAAGGTCACCATACCCCCATAGCCACATTTTTAAAAGGGAAGAAACACTCAGTCGTGTGATAATTTCAGTACTCAGGAAGCAGAAGGTTTGCTTCAAGTTCAAGGACATCCCAGACTATGTTGTGAGTTCCAGTCCAACTTGGGTGATAGAGCTGGACCCTGCCTGAAAAGAAAAAGTGGGGAAAGTGCTGCCAGTTCCAGGGCTCATTGGTACAGCTCCTAGGTCATTCTTCCAAGAGAATCTCCAGAATTCTGATTCTTTTGAAAATAAGCAAGTCTTTTTCATATTTTTTAACTTCTTTGAGCCTTGGCATCATCATATTTAAAATAAAATGAATAGAACGTTCCACTTAGGGCTCATGGAGGTGTGAGTTAAGCAGCGAGTGTGAAGGTCTGACATGATGCATGAGAGAAAACATGCTCGTTCTCTTTGCTGCTCTCCCCACAGACAGTTAGCACTCATGACAATAACTGTAAACACAATGACTAGCACTTGCTGAACACGACCCACACATTGGGCAGAGCCCCGCACCCAGTGCTTTATGTGAATTATTTCATTTGCTCCCCAGAAAATCAGTCTCAATTAGGTATCATGCGAGTTGAGATGAGGAAAGTGAGAGGCAGGAAACTAAAACCTAAGAAAAAAGCCATAGCCCTGAGATTTGAACCTTGATTTCCTGGCTCTGGAGCCTGCTCTTTGCCTGTAAATTCATACACAGGAGGCATGAGGAACTATATAAGTGAGCCAAGACCACCTGGCAGCCATGAAGACTCAGCCTTACAATGGGAGCTGGAAATATGTTCTGAACTTTCAAGGATAAAGTATAAATGTTCCTTGCTCTGTAGTAAACATTTAAGACTTGGGCAAAGTAGCCAAAATCCAAGAAAGACATAACGATAATGATTTCATTTTCAGATAGAAATACTTGAACCAGATGTTGAGCGGAGCCAGAGAAAGCTTTTCTGTATGACATTTAACAAATGCCCCTGCTGTGTGGATGGTAAAGCTTGGGCCCTTAGCAACTGCAGCCCCATCCTCTGAGTCGTGATTCTCCGAAGGGAACTGCCTAAAGCTCCCAGGGGAAGTGGCTGTCCCCACATGACACCAGTAATAAACAAAATATTCTCTACCAGCTGAAAGAAAGGCTTAGAAGTGACAGTTTTCCAAGCAAGCCCTGGCCAGCCTGACTCAATAGTCCTCTGCCGCTGCAGCCCAGCTGAGCACATGGAGCCCGACTTCTTTTCCTGCCATCATGACAGGTCATAGCAGTTCCTCATGTGTCTTGGGAGCTCCCAGAGCTTCCTTCATGTGTGCCCTAGCCCTGATTAATCACAGGAGCTGAATGAACCTACCTTCCATGAACTCTTAGACCAAGTGGCCTCTGGTGACACACCAAGCATGTCCTTTTCATGTGGCTGTCTTCCCTTCTGGTTCAGGGCATGCTTTCTGTACCACAGCGGACACCTCTGTTAGCACTTCCTTCAGCCTTTTAGGTACCAGCACCAGGCACGGCTCTGTATCTTTGAGCATCACTGTGGCTCCTGGTGGGTGCCACTATTTCCAAAAGAACATGGAGATTACCTGGCTTCAAATCCCAGCCCTGACATCATATGGAAGCCCGGATAAATTACATGGCTTCTCTGTGCTCTAGTGTCCTTGTTGGCAAGTAAGCAAAGGTCATAGCGCCTCATTCCTAAGCTTTTGGCCATCATTAAGTGAAGTGATTGTTATATACACATATAATGTGGATATATACATATTAATATATGTATTTTTATGAAATATGCAATACTGGGCAGACAATATTATACATGTTAGTTATTACTAGGGAAATTTTAATACAGCATCTGATGCGTCATCACTATTACTTAGAAATAAACAGGATGAGGAACATTCTGGAATGGTGTAACGTAGTTTTTCTATCTTTCCAAATCCTCACATAAAAAATTGGCAGAGCAACTATGTGACAGAATTTTTCATAGTAATAAGTAGTAAAACCTGAGAAGATCTAACTTCCCCAGCAACTTCAAAATATAGAGGTGTTGGGAAAAGCCAGCAGCTGGTGTCTTCTTGTAAGAAGGCAACTAGGGAAGGAGCAGGTGGCATGATGGTCACAGATAGAGAGGCCTTGTAGTGGTGTCTGGGTGTTTACTGGAAAACACAACAGAACAGTTTGAGAATGGCAGCTGAAAGGACAAGGAAGGCCAGCTCTTCACTCTCTGGGTCAGGTGAACAGTATGAACCTTCAACCCTGATCCACCAGGAAGCTTTTCTGTAAAAAGAGGGGGAGTGTCAGGGACACCACTGGCAAAAGAAGGAGATACAGTGCCAATGTGAAAGGAGGGGTGGAGCTAGAAACCCTGAGGGCCAAAGCAAGAACTCAGAAGTGCTTCTTAAAGCCCACCTGCTCCTAATTTCACATGACAACAAGCACCAGCACTTAAATCTCATCCTGCCTCTGGGTACTTTAAAAGAATAGAGATTATATTACTATCCCTATATTGAGAAAATGAGAGAAAAGCATACACAAACTAGATGAAAACTGAGTATATGTATATATCAGATCGTGGAGAAGCACAAATTCTCCAAAGGAAGATGACCTAATTTGGGAAAGAATTAAAACTGAAACAAGAACATTCATCTTAGAAACAGATGAAACAAAAATAACAACAAATCTGCACGCAGTAATGTTTTTTGAGAATTAAATAGAAAAGGGAGACATCTTAAAATAAAAAAATTAAAGCTATAAAACAGTTTAAGAGAGGATGACAAACATTAAGTGTAGGTAATGATGGAATAGCACCCAGGAGCAAAGTTCCAGAAGGTGAAATGCGAAGTGAGAAATGAGAAATGCTGAAAACTGCACATGAGGGAAACTTTCTTAGGAGGAAGAAGATTAAAGAGACACGTCAAAAGAGCACTCTGTGTGCAGGGAAAGAGGCTTCCATCCTAGGCTTAGTCTAATGAGAATACTGAACAGGTGAGGCGCTGAACCCCTGCCCTCTCTGCCTCTAGGGTGTGGAGCTAGAAGAATCAGAAGCTCGTGGTCATCTTCAGCTACGTACAAGGCCAGATGAGAATACAGAAGACCGTCTAAAGAGAAGTAAATAAACATTAACAAATGTTTATTTGTTTATCTAACTGAACAAGAGAAGAAGGGAAGAAAAGAGGAAATGGGTGGAGGGACCCCTGTACATCCAGAAGAAAGTACAAGTTATCGATAAAGAATATAAACCTATGCCAACATAAGGTATTTTGGGTCCAACATTTTTTTCAAAAGTAGTCACAATGAAATACTCAAGGAAATGAGGTGGTAGACAAGGATTTCATATTTAGCCATAAGGACTCACTAGAAGACGAGGAGGAATCCTGGGCTCCAGTAGGGGTCTGGAGAGATGGCTCAGTGGATAAGAGCACTTGCTTCTCTTCCACAGGACCCAGGTTCCACGCACTGGGTTCACATGGCCTCTCACAGCCTTCTGTGACTCCAGTTCCCGGGATCTGAGGCCCTCTTCTGA